AAGTTTGGTCCACGCACAAAGCATCTTGGCCATTTGGGCTTGCCAAGTTGTGTTGATGGGAGCAGTTGAGGGTTACCGTGTTGCTGGTGGACCTCTCGGTGAAGTTGTTGACCCACTTTACCCTGGTGGCAGTTTCGACCCATTGGGACTTGCTGAAGACCCAGAGGCTTTTGCTGAGCTCAAGGTAAAGGAGATCAAGAATGGTAGACTTGCTATGTTTTCCATGTTTGGATTCTTTGTTCAGGCTATCGTCACTGGAAAGGGTCCATTGGAGAACCTTGCCGACCACCTTGCAGACCCAGTTAACAACAATGCCTGGGCCTATGCCACAAACTTTGTTCCCGGAAAGTGAATTTAACAAAAGTTGATCTCTAATTTTCAAGTAGTGTGAGATAGTATGTAGCTTGTGAGTGATGAACCCAAAGAAGTTTTCAGTCTTTTTTTTTCTTGCATTTTGAGCTATGGGTTCAGTAAAGGAATTGGTATGTGATGTAAATTGGTTTGGATTAATGAAGAACATGTGAAGCTTTTAAAGTTTAATCTTGCACTTCCAATCTTTAGTCTAAAGCTTCATTATCTCAAAGTGTTTAATGCCTTAAAATGGCAGTGAAAATAGTCAAAACACATAATCGAACAATGTTAAGAGAACATTTAACCGTACAAGATCCATTCTTTATTTCACCAATTTTTCCCAGCACATGAAATTGCGATCTTATGATATTTTTAAGTTAGACAAAAAGAATCGACTTTAAGAGTTGAAAATTTTGTAAAAGAAAATATACATATGGATATAAAATTAACTCAAATTTTTAAGAAGAGAGTTTGTGCAGTGACCTATGGACATTTTTCTTTTTCTGAATTTTAAGAAAAAATTGTGGAAGTTTTCTTTTTCAAAAGATCTTGTTGTTAACACGGTCCCCTTTTCTCCATTTTTCAATCTACGGTTCTATCACAATTGCAACGGTTTTATTGCTAAAGTGTGCTGATATCTCCTAAATGCTATTGTAACAGTTGTAAACGCTATGGTATCTAGTCTATGCCAACGGTTTGTGAACCATTGCTTAAATAACTGTTGCCATAGGACCATTTTTCAGTAGTCCTAACCAATTTTTATAGTATGGTTAACTGTTCATGGCTTAGCTGTACCTACCTTCTTTTTTTGATCAATATGTGCATTAATCTCTCCTTGCTACTATCCAGTCCAGAGTATATTCCTCTTTGCTGGATAAATGGTTGGGCTGAGGAGAGCTTTTGGGCCGAGAACAAGTAATAGAGCCAGATTAATTTGTGATCCGGGTTGAGTATTTGACGCAAAGACGCTTCTATTAAAAAAGGGATTGGTCGGTTATTCTGGAGATATGCGTAGTGTTGAAGAAAAACGTCTGTTACTCTCAACCCCTTTCTCTGAGTCTAACCTTCTCATCTCCCTTTCTTATCTCTAATCCTTAAACTACTTTTACATTCCAATATTTTTCATTGTAATTCAGTAGTTTGAGTGTTGAATTGTTATCCCAATCTGTAATTGAGTTTTAGTTCATATTAATATAGTAAGAAGTTTGTCTATTTGTTACAGTGTACATAATGATATACACTACGCAATCAAATCTAATTATTGGTTTAGTTTCTGCATGGCGAAAGAGGGTATTTGAATGGTTTTAGCTCCTTAATATTCAAAAAGTTTGAAAGAAAAACAGAATTTTTTTTATGTTATGAATTTCAATTCTAATAAACGTAGACAACATATGGATGGAAATTATTCGGCTTCCCCCGCTTCAATCTCCTGCTGCACTCTGCATATCGGGTAAGATTGTTATTTTCTTGCGCTGTCCCACTCCCACCCACCTCTTTATTAGTAAATCTGCAAGATCCAAAAAAGTTCACCTTGGGTTTTTGGTGAAGATAACTCTTGCATTCTTGCTTTGCTAGAATTTTTCAATCAAATGCAATGAAAATTGGTCAAGATGGGCATAGTTTGGGCAAAACCGACTAATCCAAAACAACTCTAGAAAATCAAACCAAACAAAGCTTATTTGGGTTGAATTTAGATTGAAATATCATGATGTGTGCAAATTAATTCAGATATAACTCTCTATGTTTTTTCAAGGGAAAGCAATGTAAATCCCATCTAGTTAGTTATAAGTTAAGTCCTACCACAGCCGGAGACAAGTGATTAACGTTAAAGATTGGAAGTGCAAGAAAGAATATGAAAAGATTCACATGTTCGTCATTAATTAATCCAAACCAATTTACACCACATTACAATCTCTTTAATGAACCCATAACCCAGAATGCTAAAAATAAACTCTGACCCTTCTTTGGGTTCATCACTCACAAGCTACATATCAGACACTACTTGAAGATTAGAGATCAACTTTTGTTAAATCACTTTCCGGGGACAAAGTTTGTAGCGTAGGACCAAGCATTGTTGTTAACTGGGTCTGCGAGGTGATCGGCAAGGTTCTCCAATGGACCCTTTCCGGTAACGATAGCCTGAACAAAGAATCCAAACATGGAGAACATAGCAAGTCTACCATTCTTGATCTCCTTTACCTTG